TATATATATATATATATATATATATATATATATATATATATATACATATACATATATACATACAAATCAAGAGAAAGACTTCAGTTCCTCGTCTGACTTCCGCCTGATACCTCCGCTGCCCCTCGGCCTTGGCGCTGTTTAGGTGGTCGGGGTTCAAGGCGAGGCGTGTTATGACTCTCACGAGTTATGCCTTTTTTCTGCTATTTTATCTCTTGATCTTGTATTGAGTGCAGGAGAAGAGAGTTACTCTCTTATTTCCCTTCATTTTTCTTTCTTTTTTGTAGTATCATTTTCTTAAAGGATACTGTTGTATAGATTATGGTGGCAACCTTGCTCGATCAAGTCCACAGGAAAGGTTCATGTCTACCCATTTATACACACAACACACAAATGCACCCACTCACATGCACAAACACGCACCTATATACATACGCACGCATACACCTACACACAAACACGCACCTATATACATACGCACGCATACACCTACACACAAACACACATATATAAATGGAGGCATCTATATCTCTGGGAGCAATGATCGTAAAATATGTTGTCAGAGGACAAATTTATAATACATACATGGAAGATTATTCAGTGTATTCGGTGAATTTCATTACATCTTAGAAGAGAATCTACTCTAGTTAGATGGAGACTGAGTTCATCTTACTTTCCGTAACTGCCGCGTCCTCTTCCTCCACCCGCACCTCCGCCGAATCCGCTACCGCCGAAGCCTCCGCCGCTGCCTCCGAATCCACCGCCACCGAATCCACCACCTCCGGTGCCGCCTCCGAATCCTCCACCGCCGAATCCACCGCCACCTCCAGACAGCCTACCTACGCCGATCAGAACTCCACGGTTTACGCTTCCGCCTCCACCTCGGCCTCCACTTCCGCCATATCCACCACCACCTCGGCCGCCGCTGAATCCACCTCCACTACCTCCAAATCCACCACCACTACCGCCAAATCCACCTCCACCAAACCTGTGTCCACCGAATCCACCTCCTCCTCCTCTCCCACCACTGCCGAATCCTCCTCCACCTCCGCCTCCTCTACCACCTCCACCATAACTTCCGCCAGCTGCCGCCACATAAGCCATGGCCACCACAGCCACAGTCACAAGCTGAGAAAACAGTAATAAGATGTTATTTCACCAAAACTTAATCGAAAAGTTTTTTTGTTATTCAAAACCATAAGTCAACCAAAAGAGCATTATTTTTCTGATTGGTACAACCGCCAATAGGTCTTTACAAAATTATTTAACGCATATCCTACATGAAAGCAAAGGTATGCTTACAATAAGGCGATTCATGATGTCTCAAACCGTCTTCCACTGCTGGAGGAGACGAGAAGCACCTAAGTGTAGCCAGACGGCACCTGTCCCTGCATTTATACACGGCACCGGCACTCGTGGCACCCTTGAGGCAGCGGTCGTGACAATGAAACGTTTTCCGAAAGAATCTTTGGGAAATACTTCGGTATAAGTTGCAGATTTAGTAAAACATTAGTGTTTCAGTTCTATGACCTTGATAATTTTCTTTTTAAAAGGACAATTTTTTGTCTGTCACTTTAAATATTTAGCATCATACAATATATATGAATAATTGTCAGCAATTGCTGTTTAATGAGTTTGTACGTCATTAAGTCTATTCTTATTCTTGTTGCTGTTGTTAATTGTAAATTTCATTTACATATCATGTAAAAGATAAGTGTTATTAAACACCAATTTGAAAAATGGGTCAGTATATGCACACAAGGGGTAGTTTTTCATATATTCAGATTCGATTCCTAATAACAATTTATTCTAAGCTTTCCATGCTTTAGCAAAATCAGTGTGTTGTTGATGATATCAATTTTAGATCACATTACTCTAGAAAACTGGGTATCATGTTGCCCAGAATTAGTCTCCATTTATATTCATCTGTATGTGAAAACAAGCATGGAATATTTTACTTTTAACTTGTGTATTTAAGTGCATTCTTATGAGCAGAGGCACCAACACAACAAGGTACACCTACAATTTATATAAAACACTGCCAGAATAGAAATAAATAAAACTAAAACGTTTTTCACTAGACTTACTAAAACATGAGATCATTCATGTTTATGTGAGTGTGAGTAAAACCTGTTTGCATTTCCATGTGTTAGTGTCACGACAAATAGTTCCTCAAAAAAAAAACAAAAAAAAACAATCAGTGATGTCTCCGAATCTCCTTAATATGTTTAGGAAATATAAAAGGAAAATGTTGGTCACGGCCATCAGGACAGGCGAGAGGACTTTGAGGAGCTCTTTCAGATTTTTTTTTTTTTTTTTTCATAAACCTGTAATGTACAACAGGAAGTACATATTAATAACAGATTAAAAAATGAACTTCCAGGGAACACATCTCTCTCTCTCTTTCTCTCTCTCTCTCTCCCTCTCTCTAGATACATAGAGAAAGATACAAGGAGAGTTTATTTTGGTTTTCCTATTAGGTACCTACGATATTGATAATGATGTTGATGATAATTAAGTAAGACAATCAGCATGGAGCGAAAGTCATCTAGAGAAAGACTTCATCTGACTTCCGCCTGATGCCTCCGCTGCCCCTCGGCCAGGGAGGATCATGGCGAGGCGTGTTATGACTCACGATCTATACCTTTTTTCCTTTATTTTTCTATCTTATCTTTTCATCATGTGTTATGTCCCACACAAACACACACACCAAGACCCATGTATACTCACAAACATATTCACATATATACATACTCACAAACACATACCCACACCCATGTACATACATAGATGTACATACACACTCACACATATGTACACACACTCACACATACATTGAGGGGGGGATATATTTGCAAAACAAATTTGAAGGGTTATAAAGTGTATTCGGTGCATTTCATTACATCTTAGAGAATTTGCTCGACTTTGGTGGAGACTCTTTTCTTCTTACTTTCCGTAACTGCCACTTCCTCTTCCTCCGCCGAATCCGCTACCACCGAAACCTCCACGGCCGCCTCCGAATCCACCGCCACCGAATCCACCACCTCCGCTGCCGCCTCCGAATCCTCCACCGCCGAATCCACCGCCACCTCCAGACAGCCTACCTACGCCGATCAGAACTCCACGGTTTACGCTTCCGCCTCCACCTCGGCCTCCACTTCCGCCATATCCACCACCGCCTCGGCCGCCGCCGAATCCAGCTCCGCTACCTCCAAATCCACCTCCACTGCCTCCAAATCCTCCTCCACCTCCACCAAACCTGTGTCCACCGAATCCACCTCCTCCTCCTCCTCTTCCGCCACCGCCGAATCCTCCTCCACCTCCGCCTCCTCTACCGCCTCCACCATAACTTCCGCCAGCTGCTGCCACATACGCCATGGCTACCACAGCCACAGTTACAAGCTGCAAAAGATATTCATGATTATAACAAGTCATCCAAAAAAAAACATAATCTTTCTGCTTAGCCTAACGACTGCCAACATTTCCTTACTATCAGTTAGTCTAAACTTTGATAAAATCATATCACACAATTTCCTCCATGAAAGCAAAAATATGCTTACAATAAGGCGGTTCATGACTGCTGCAGGGGACAAGAAGCGTCCAAGTGTGGCCAGACGACGCCTGTCCCTGCATTTATACACGGCCAACAGCACTCGTGGCACCCTTGAGGCAGCGGTCGTGACACTGACACGTTTTCCGAAAGCCTTTTTAGGAAGTGTTTCGGCATGTTTCATATCTTGTTCCTGTAAAACACCAGTGGTAATTATTTGAATCTGACTTATACTTTCTTCAGAAAATATTTGTTAAAACATTGGTTTTCAAGGTTTATAACCTTGATGATTCTTTGTTTACAATTTTTAATTTTTTTGTTTGGTGCTTGTACATTTAGCACATGTATTATGTTTGAAGAAATGTCAACACTTACTATTAACTGCATTTTGCGTTAGTTATTTGTTAGATTTATGTGTGTGGATTCTTATAACTCTGGTTTACCGTTCTATTAGTATAGCACATATAAAAGGTACATTCTGTCATTAACCATTCACTTTGAAAAAATGTGTCTGTACGTACGTTTTCAGCCGTACTTTTCGACATATTCAAATTTGGTTCTAATCTTTATCATTCTTTAGCAATGTTAGTGTTAGTAATGTGAGAATTTGGAATATTAATTTTCCCTCGTTACCACGAATTATTCTATTTATACATATACAAGTGTTAGGTTTAAGGTTAATCCACTTAATATCATAATAATTATCATGGGATATTTCACTCATTTAAGCTAGCAGACGCATTTGAAATGGCCCTAAAGGAAAGACTCTCTGCCTATAGCTAGAGATTGGAAAAGCTTGCAGTGCCTGTGTGTGGGTGTAACGTACGTGGTTGTATCCCATTATTTATGTTTCTGTATCTATAGGCTGTGTGGTTTTATATATACGCACGTGTTTATAGTATCAAAACAAAAACAAACAGTTACGTGTATACATTAGTGGAACAAAACACTACCACAGTGGAAAGATATAAAAACCAAAAGATTTAAAGTAGTACCAAGTTCCTCACTAAATTTGATTAAAAGTGAAATCGTTTATTTTTGTGTGTTATCTGTGATGTATCTGAATCCTCATATGTTTATGAAATATTGAAGGGATATGTTGGTCACGGCCATCAAGGCATACAAGATGTCTTTGAATACTTCCTTTACTTTTGCACAAACCTGTATTGTGGAACACGAAATATTGTACGCTTCTTTTCTTTCCTCCGTGATAATAACAGATAAGAATGGGGGAAAACGGGAACACACGTTTCTCTCTCTTACACACACTCAATTACTCGATATACATATATATATATAGAGAGAGAGAGAGAGAGAGATAGATAGATAGAGAGAGGAAAAATATTTTGCTTTCTGCTCTTGGGTTACCTTCTACGACAATTTTGATGCTGATTAGAAATTTAACATGAAAAAATCCACATGAGTGAACCTAATGTAGAAAGAGAAAGACGTCAGTTCCTCGTCTGACTTCTTCCTGATGCCCCCGCTGCCCCTCGGTCTTGGCGCTGTTTCCCTGCGCTGAAGAAGGCGGTCGCGGTTCAAGGCGAAGCGTGTTATGACTGTCACGAGTTATGCCTTTTTTCTGCTATTTTATCTTTTGATCTTGTATTGAATGCAGGGGAAGAGAGTTACTCTCTTATTTTCACTCATTTTTCTTTCTTATAATAGCATAAGAAAAGAGGGGGGGGGGGGTCGTGCATGGAACTTACAACAGTGTTTTTGTTTAATGTTCATTCCGTTTTCCTTTCTTTATTTTTTATTATTGTTTTTAAAGATTTTTACCCAACAATAGATAAATTACGGCCCTGAATTTACCGATCATTGGTGCATTCATGCATACATAAACATACACTAATAAACACACACATACACACAGACAAACAAACGAACACATTTATGTATAAAAATACTAAAAAAAACAACAGTTAGAGATACCTATATCTTTAGGTGTGATGACCACAGGAGGGTATATATTTGCAAAACAAACTTGAAAGGTTGTTAAATGTATTCGGTGCACTTCATTACATCTTTTAAGTAGAGAATTTGCTCAACTTGGATGGAGACTGAGTTCATCTTACTTTCCGTAACTACCGCGTCCTCTTCCACCGCCGAATCCACTACCGCTGCTACCTCCGAATCCACCACCACCGAATCCACCGCCACCGAATCCACCGCCACCGAATCCACCACCTCCGCTACCGCCTCCAAATCCTCCGCCTCCAAATCCTCCGCCTCCAAATCCACCGGCACCGAAACCACGACACTGGCACTCATTGGCACCCTTGAGGCAGTCGTGACACAGACGGATTCCGAAAGCCTTTTTGGGAAGTACGTCAGCATAAGTTTCAGTTTCAGATTTGGTAAAACATTTGTGTTCAAGGTTCATAACTTTGATAATATTTTGTTGAAAAAGTTTTCTCGTTTGACGCTTGTACATTTAGCATCGTGCATCAAGCATGAAAAAGTTGTCAACAGTTATTGTTGATTTCATTTGTGCACCAACTATTTGTTGTCTTTTTGTATGTATTATCATATCTGATAGTAATATCATATAAACACGCAGTGACGCGTACACAAAATACAATCAAAATGGATCGTCAGACTTAGTAAAAAGCGAAATCGTTTAACTAAACCCTGCCGGAATAGAGAAAATTAAAAGGCTAGGGTTTCGAACTTGTCAAGTCTAATTCATCATACATAGCAACAACAAAAATCGTTCATGTTGATATGCGTCTGTCAGGTTACTTGCATGTGCATGTGTTGTACAAACGGTTCATGTAAATGTTATTCAGGAATGTATTTGAATCCTTTCAATATGTTTACATATATGTAAGGAAAATTTTGGTCTCAGGTATCAGGGCAGGCGAGATGGTTCTTTAAGATTGTTTGTAATTTTGTAAAGTACTTTTCTCTCACAAAAATCCTCATTATCAATAACAGCTTAAGAAATAAAGTACCTCGAGAAACCTTTCTCTCTCTCTCTCTCTTTTTCTCTCTATCATTCTCGCTATATACTGTATAGATATATTGAGAAAGATACAGCGAGTTTATTTTGGTTTCTCGGGTTTTGGTATCTACTACGGCAGCCATGATGGTATCGATTATAATACTAATATGAGAAAATCAGCATGAGAGAACGTAATCTAGAAAGAGAAAGTTCGTCTGACACTTCCGCCTGATGCCTTCGCTGCCCCTCGGCCTTGGCGCCGTTTCCCGGTCGCGGTTCATGGCGAGGCGTGTTATGACGCTCACGGTTTTGCCTTTTTTCCCTTCTTCTTTTCTGTCAGATTATCTTTTAATCTATGAAGTGTAGGAGAACAATTTTGTTCTCTCATTTTTCATTATATTTTCCTTTCTTTCATTTTTCATTCATAAAAAATGCAACCATAAACACACACACACGCAGGAACAAGCACTCATATTCATACATATACATTTTTTAAAAGATCACATACTCACACATAACATATACACAAGTAGACAGAAATATCTATAGAGTAATGGCCATAGAAGGGATATAATTACAAAAAGTTTATTCGGTGTTTTTATTACATCTTTAAATCAGAGAATTTTCATCTTACTTTCCGTAACTGCCACTTCCTCTTCCTCCGCCGAAACCTCCACTGCCGCCTCCAAATCCACCGCCACCGAATCCACCACCTCCGCTGCCGCCTCCGAATCCTCCACCTCCGCTGCTGCCTCCGAATCCTCCACCTCCGAATCCACCGCCACCGAATCCACCGCCACCTCCAGACAGCTTACCGGCGCCGATCAGAACTCCACGATTTACACTTCCGCCTCCACCTCGGCCTCCACTTCCGCCATATCCACCACCACCTCGGCCGCCCCCGATTCCACCTCCGCTGCTTCCAAATCCACCTCCACTGCCTCCAAATCCACCTCCACTGCCTCCAAATCCTCCTCCACTGCCTCCAAATCCTCCTCCACTTCCACCAAACCTGTGTCCACCGAATCCACCTCCTCCTCCTCCTCTTCCACCACCGCCGAATCCACCTCCACCTCCGCCTCCTCTACCGCCTCCACCATAACTTCCACTAGCTGCTGCCACATAAGCCATGGCCATCACAGCCACAGTCACAAGCTGCAAAAGGAAAAAATATTTAAAGTTGTCGTTTGATCACAACAGTATTGACGAGGATTTATTTTGCTATTTACCATCATAACAAATCTTTTAAAATCAAACAAATCACTCATCTTATTATGTCCACAACCGCCAAAATTTCTTTGCTGTCTGCGAGTCTGAAGCCTAACTTAACGTCCATAACTGAAAACAACAGTTTACTCACAATAAGGCGATTCATGATGCCTCAGACCGTCTTCCACTGTTGCAGGACACGAGAAGCGCCCAAGTGTGGCTGGACGGCGCCCGTCCCTCCATTTATACACGGCACCGGCACTCGTGGCACCCTTGAGGCAGCAGTCGTGACACTGACACGTTTTCCGAAAGCCTTTTTGGGGAATGTTTCGGCATAAGTTTCAGATTTGGTATAGCATTAGTATTCAAGGTTCATAACTTTGAAGATATTTTGTTCGTTAGAAGCTTGTACATTTATCATCATGTATCTTGCGTGAAAAAATGTCAACATTTGCTGTTGACTGCATTTGTTGAGTCTATTTGTATATATTATATCAGGTTCACTGCATTTTATAAATTTCATGTAAAATAGTACGAGCTGTCATGCACCATTCACTTTGGGAAAAAAAATATATACATGTAAGTTTTAAGGGGTAATTTAAAATCCCTAATAACAATTCATTACGAACCATTTCATGCTTCAGTAAAGTCAATTTACATATGTGTCAAGTTTTGGTTTAATCAGCTGTCTTCAGAATAAAAACATTGGTAATGGCCCTATGATGCTTCGATTTTAACTAAACTATATCACCGGCTGGTAAAATAGTTACTAAAGGAACAATTCTTTCCTTTTGGTCAGATGTGGTCAAGCTTCCTGTGTTTGCGTGTGTGTTTGAGTGTGCGTGTTCATGTCCTATTACTTATATTTCTATATTTATGTACAGAAAGTGTATACGCACATGTTTATGCATATGCACAGAAACGCAGACATACAAATAAAACATAATGCAAAGAATTCAATGAAACGTATGTCAACAGTTATTCATCAGACTTAATAAGAAGCAAAACCGTTTAACTAAACCCATCCGGAAGAGAAAGAAATGAACTCCTAGGGTTTCAACCTCGCCAAGACTTTTTCAGAATACTTAGTAAAACCGGAAATTGTTTGTACATGTGTGTCTGTCAGTCTGCTTGCATGCGTATGTGTTGTACAAACAATTCATGGAAAAGCATCATTCGTTATGTATTTGAGTCCTCTTAATAATGTTGTTCACGGCCATCAGGGAAGGCGAGATAGCTTTAAGCTTATATTTCTAGATTTATGTAAAGAATTTGTATAAGCACATGTTTATACGTATGAATACAAACGGAGTAACGCGCACACACACGGGAAACAAAATACTGCCAAAAATGAAAAAAAGTGGAATCATTTAATGAACCCTGCTGGAGTAAAAAAAAAAAAAAAAAAAAAAAAAAAAAAGAATGGAGTAAAATAAAACATAAAAAATAACAAAGGTTTCGAACTCGTCCAGTCTGTCTTATTAAACGTAGCATTAACAGGTATCGTTCATGTTAATGCGTGTCTTTCAGGTTGCTTGTATGTGTATATGTTGTGCCAATGGTTCTTGTAAAAAAATATTTCCGGATATATATGAATATATTTACAATTATGTAAGGAATATTTGGTCTCTGCTGACAGGGCAGGCGAGATGGCTTTGAGAAGCATTCTTTCAGATTATTTGTAATTTTGCAAAAACCTGCAATGTGCAACAGGAAGTGTTGTACGTTTCTTTTACTTTCTTTTTTTCTCTCTGTCATTCTCGCTATATACTTTATAGATAGACAGAAAACGAAACCGAGAGTTTATTTTGGTTTCTCGTGTTGGGTATCTACTACGATAATCATGATGGTATCGATTATAATAACAATTCCGCCTGATGTCTCCTCTGCCCCTCAGCCTTGCCGCTGTTTCCCTGCGCTGAGGAAGGCGGTCGCAGTTTGTGACGAGGCGTGTTATCACAGTTTCACCTTTTTTTTTTCTTCTTTTCTTATCTTTTAGTCATTCATGTAGCGTAGGAGAACAGTTCTGTCCTCTCATGACCATTATGTTTTCCTTTCTTTCATTTTAAATTATTTTTTTAGTATTACTTCTTATCGAACGATGCATAATGTTATGACGCTCATGTGTACCTTCATGCGGATATAAACACACATCATTCATGTAGCGTAGGAGAACAGTTCTGTCCTCTCATGACCATTGTTTTCCTTTCATTTTAAATTATTTTTTTTAGTATTACTTCTTATCGAACGATGCATAATGTTATGACGCTGATATAAACACATACATATACACACACTCATATTCATACATACACATTCTCACACAAACACATAAGTAGACAGATATCTATATCTATCACAGAAGGGGATGTATTTGCAAAACAAATTTGAAAGATTTTTAAGTGTATTCAATGCTTTTCATTACATCTTTTAAGCAGAGTATTTGCTCTACTTATATGGAGACTCAGTTCATCTTACTTTCCGTAACTGCCACTTCCTCTTCCTCCACCGAAACCTCCACTGCCGCCTCCGAATCCACCGCCACCGAATCCACCACCTCCACTGCCGCCTCCGAATCCACCACCTCCGCTGCCGCCTCCGAATCCTCCACCTCCGAATCCACCGCCACCGAATCCGCCGCCACCTCCAGACAGCTTTCCGGCGCCGATCAGAACTCCACGATTTACACTTCCGCCTCCACCTCGGCCTCCACTTCCGCCATATCCACCACCACCTCGGCCGCCCCCAAATCCACCTCCGCTGCCTCCAAATCCACCTCCACTGCCTCCAAATCCTCCTCCACTGCCTCCAAATCCTCCTCCACTGCCTCCAAACCCTCCTCCACCTCCACTTAACCTGTGTCCACCGAATCCACCTCCTCCTCCGCCTCCTCTACCGCCTCCACCTCCGCCTCCTCTACCGCCTCCACCATAGCTTCCACCAGCTGCTGCCACATAAGCCATGGCCATCACAGCCACAGTCACAAGCTGCAAAAGGAAAAAAAATAATTAAACCTGGCGTTTGATCGCAACAATATTGATGAGGATTTATTTTGCTATTTACCATCATAACATTTTTTTTTTTTTTTTTTAATCAAACAAATCACTCATCTTTTCATGTTCACAATCGTCAAAATTTCTTTGCTGTCAGCGAGTCTAAAGTCTAACTTAATCATCCATAACTGAAAACAACAGTTTACTCACAATAAGGCGATTCATGATGCCTCAGACCGTCTTCCACTGTTGCAGGACACGAGAAGCGCCCAAGTGTGGCTGGACGGCGCCCGTCCCTCCATTTATACACGGCACCGGCACTCGTAGCACCCTTGAGGCAGCAGTCGTGACACTGACACGTTTTCCGAAAGCCTTTTTGGGAAATGTTTCGGCATAAGTTTCAGATTTGATAAAGCATTAGTATTCAAGCTTCATAACTTTGAAGATATTTTGTTCGTTAGAAGCTTGTACATTTATCATCATGTATCTTGCATGAAAAAATGTCAACATTTGCTGTTGACTGCATTTGTTTAGTCTATTTGTATATATTATATCAGGTTCACTGCATTTTATAAATTACATGTAAAATGGTACAAGCTATCATGCACTATTCACTCTGGGAAAAAATATATATATATACATGTAAGTTTTAAGGGATAATTTAAAATCTCTAATAACAATTCATTATGAACCATTTCATGCTTTAGTAAAGTCAATTTACATATGTGTCAAGTTTTGGTTTAATCAGCTGTCTTCAGAATAAAAACATTGGTAATGGCGCTATGATACTTCGCTCTTAACTAAACTATATCACCCGCTGGTAAAATAGTTACTAAGGGAACAACTCTTTCCTTTTGGTCAGATGTGGTCAAGCTTCCTGTGTTTGCGTGTGTGTTTGAGTGTGCGTTTTAATATCCTGTTACTTATATTTCTATATATATGTACAGAAAGTGTATACGCACATGTTTATGCATATGAACAGAAACGCAGACATACAAATGAAACATAATGCAAAGAATTAAATGAAACGTATGTCGTAAACAGGTATTCATCAGACTTAATAAGAAGCAAAACCGTTTAACTAAACCCATCCGGAAGAGAAAAAAACACACCTAGGGTTTCAAAATCGCCAAAACTTTTTCAGAGTACTTAGTAAAACCGGAAATTGTATGTACTTGTGTGTCTGTCAGTCTGTTTACATGCGTATGTGTTGTACAAACAATTCATGGAAAGCATCATTCGTTATGTATTGGAGTCCTCTTAATAATGTTGGTCACGGCCATCAGGGAATGCGCGATGGCTTTAAGCTTACATGTGGAACAGGAAGTATCATACGTTTCTTTTCTATCCATCAAAATCCTCCATGTTAATAAGAGATTAAGAAAGGAAGTCCTGGAAACACACTTATCTATCTATATATATGTAGATATATAGAGAATGAAACAGAGATTTTTTTTTTTTTTTTGGTGTGGGGGTATCTGCTACGATAATTATAATGATGTCGATAACTACAATAACATAAGAAAATCAGCATAAGTGGATGTAATCTAGAAAAGAGAGACTTTGGTTCCTCATCTGACTTCCGCCTGATGCCTCCTTGGCCTTGGCGCTGTTTCCCAACGGTTTATGGCGATGTATGTTATGACTCTCACAAGTTTACCCTTTTTTCTTTTCTTTTCTTTTTTTTGTGCGTGTTTTTTACATTATAATCGTGCATGGAGCGTAGAAGAGCTGTTCTTTTGTGTAATGTTTAGTCTGGTTTCCTTTCTTTCAATGTTAATTCAGTTTTTAGTATTACTCCTTATCGTACGATAGATGAGTTAGGTCGTACATAAACATGCCGACAGAGACACACACTTACACGCATACAAATACTCACAAAATTATTCATATACCATACACATACATAGACTGAGGTATATATAACTTCAGGAGTGATGATCACAGAAGGGTATGTATTTGCAAAACAAACTTGAAAGGTTGTTAAATGTATTCGGTGCATTTCATTACATCTTTTAAGTAGATCTACTTAGATGGAGACCGAGTTCATCTTACTTTCCATAGCTGCCGCGTCCTCTTCCTCCACCGAATCCACTACCGCCGCTGCCGCCTCCGAATCCACCACTACCGAATCCACCACCTCCGCTGCCGCCTCCGAATCCACCGCCACCGAATCCACCACCGCTGCCGCCGCCAAATCCACCGCCGCCGAATCCACCTCCACCTCCAGACAGCTTACCGGCACCGATCAGAACACCACTGCTTACGCTTCCACCTCCTCCTCGGCCTCCACTTCCGCCATATCCACCACCACCTCTGCCGCCGCCAAAACCACCTCCACTGCCTCCAAATCCACCACTACTTCCAAATCCACCTCCACTGCCTCCAAATCCTCTTCCACCTCCACCGAATCCTCCTCCTCCTCCTCTTCCACCTCCACCGAATCCTCCTCCTCCTCCTCCTCTTCCACCACCGCCGAATCCACCTCCACCTCCGCCTCCTCTACTGCCTCCACCATAACTTCCGCCAGCTGCTGCCACACACGCCATGGCCACCACAGCCACAGTCACAAGCTGAAAGAAAAAAAAAAAGTTCTTATTTCATCACAGTGATATCGACGGTTTTTTTTGTTTTTTTTTTTCTATTCACGATCACAATAAACCATCCAAAATAACATATTTCTATTTTGTATAAAAGTGTCAATATTTCCTTGCTGTTAGCGAGGTTAAAGTTATAATTTAGTATCCAAGACTGAAAACTAAAATTTGCGTACAATAAGGCGATTCATAATGCAGGAAACCGTCTTCCACTGCTGCAGGAGACGAGAAGCGCCCAAGTGTGGCTGGACGGCGCCTGTATCTGCATTTATACACGACACCGGCGCTCGTGGCACCCTTGAGGCAGCAGTCGTGACATTGATGTTTTCCAAAAAAAAAAAAAAAAATTGGGAAATGCTTCGGCATATGTTTCAGATTTGGTAAAACATTTGTGTTTAAGGTTCATACCTTTAATTGATTATTTATTTATTTATTAAGAAAGGACAGTATTCTCGTTTAGCTTTGGTACATTTAACAAGTATCATGCATGAGAGATTGGCAATATTTACTGTTGATTGTATTTCTGCACCAATTATTTGTTCAGTCTATTTGTACTTTATCTGGTTTATTGCATGCGTTATTTTCAAAAGGCATTTAAAGGGTATACGCCATCATGCACTATTCACTTTGAAAAATGTATCTAAGCTTTAAGCCGTACTTAAAGATCCCCAACAATTTATATCAAGCCATTCCATGCTTTATAGCAAAGTCAGTATGTTAACATATTTATGTGTGAAGTTCAATCTACTTTTCTTCAAAGTAACATTATTAATGATGAAATGATGTTTTTGAATTGGCTTTTGTTTTTAATATTTACCAAGGGAACCACTCTTTGCTTTTGACCAGAGATGGAAAAGTTTTCAGAATTTGCGTGTGTTTTTTATGTCCTATTCCTTATATTTCTAGATTTATGTAAAGAATTTGTATACGCACATGTTTATACGTATGAATACAAACGGAGTAACGCGCACACACACGGGAAACTAAATACTGCCAAAATGGAAAAAGTGGAATCATTTAATGAATCCTGCTGGAGTAAAAAAAAATAATAATTATAAAATGGAGTAAAATAAAAAATAAAAAACAAAGGTTTCGAACTCGTCCAGTCTGTCTTATTAAACGTAGCATTAACAGGTATCGTTCATGTTAATGCGTGTCTTTCAGGTTGCTTGTATGTGTATATGTTGTGCCAATGGTTCATGTAAAAAAATATTTCGGGATATATATGAATATATTTACAAATATGTAAGGAAAATTTGGTCTCTGCTGACAGAGCAGGCGAGATGGCTTTGAGAAGCATTCTTTCAGATTATTTGTAATTTTGCAAAAACCTACAATGTGCAACAGGAAGTGTTGTACGTTTCTTTTACTCTCTCTTTCTCTCTGTGTCATTCTCGCTATATACTTTATAGATAGAAAACGAAACCGAGAGTTTATTTTGGTTTCTCGTGTTGGGTATCTACTACGATAATCATGATGGTATCGATTATAATAACAATTCCGCCTGATGTCTCCTCTGCCCCTCAGCCTTGCCGCTGTTTCCCTGCGCTGAAGAAGGCGGTCGCAGTTTGTGACGAGGCGTGTTATCACAGTTTCACCTTTTTTCTCTTCTTCTTTTCTTATCTTTTAGTCATTCATGTAGCGTAGGAGAACAGTTCTGTCCTCTCGTGACCATTATGTTTTCCTTTCTTTTATTTTTAATTCATTTTTTAGCATTACTTCTTAACGAACGATGCATAAGGTTATGACGCTGATGTGTCCCTTTATGCGGACATAAACGCACATACACATACACACCCTCATATTCATACATACACATTCTCACACAAACACATAAGTAGACAGATATCTATATCTATTACAGAAGGGGATGTATTTGCAAAACAAATTTGAAAGATTTTTAAGTGTATTCCATGCTTTTCATTACATCTTTTAAGCAAAGTATTTGCTCTACTTGTATGGAGACTCAGTTCATGTTACTTTCCGTAACTGCCACTTCCTCTTCCTCCGCCGAAACCTCCACTGCCGCCTCCGAATCCACCGCCACCGAATCCACCACCTCCGCTGCCGCCTCCGAATCCACCACCTCCGCTGCCGCCTCCGAATCCTCCACCTCCGAATCCACCGCCACCTCCAGACAGCTTTCCGGCGCCGATCAGAACTCCACGGTTTACACTTCCGCCTCCACCTCGGCCTCCACTTCCGCCATATCCACCACCACCTCGGCCGCCCCCGAATCCACCTCCGCTGCCTCCAAATCCACCTCCACTGCCTCCAAATCCTCCTCCACTGCCTCCAAACCCTCCACCTCCACTAAACCTGTGTCCACCGAATCCACCTCCTCCTCCTCTTCCACCACCGCCGAATCCACCTCCACCTCCGCCTCCTCTACCGCCTCCACCTCCGCCTCCTCTACCGCCTCCACCATAGCTTCCACCAGCTGCTGCCACATAAGCCATGGCCATCACAGCCACAGTCACAAGCTGCAAAAGGAAAAAAAAAAATTAAACCTGGAGTTTGATCACAACAATATTGATGAGGATTTATTTTGCTATTTACCATCATAGCAATTTTTTATTTTTTTAATCAAACAAATCACTCATCTTTTCATGTTCACAACCGCCAAAATTTCTTTGCTGTCAGCGAGACTAAAGTCTAACTTAATCATCCATAACTGAAAACAACAGTTTACTCACAATAAGGCGATTCATGATGCCTCAAACCGTCTTCCACTGTTGCAGGACACGAGAAGCGCCCAAGTGTGGCTGGTCGGCGCCCGTCCCTCCATTTATACACGGCACCGGCACTCGTGGCACCCTTGAGGCAGCAGTCGTGACACTGACACGTTTTCCGAAAGCCTTTTTGGGAAATGTTTCGGCATAAGTTTCAGATTTGGTAAAGCATTAGTATTCAAGCTTCATAACTTTGAAAATATTTTGTTCGTTAGAAGCTTGTATATATATCATCAAGCATCTTGCACGAAAAAATGTCAACGGTTGCTGCTGAATGCATTTGTTGAGTCTATTTGTATATATTACATCAGGTTCACTGCATTTTGTAAATTACATGTAAGATGGTCCAAGCTAACATGTACCATTCACTTTGGGAAAAAAATATATACATGTTTTAAGTTTTAAGGGGTAATTTAAAATCCTTAATAACAATTCATTATGAACCATTTCATGCTTAAGTTTCTATTTACATATATGTATTAAGTTTTGGTTTAATCAGCTGTCTTCAGAATAAAACATTAGTAATGTTGGTAAAATAGTTACTAAGGGAACAATCCTTTCCTTTTGGTCAGATGTGGTCAAGCTTCCTGTGTTTACGTGTGTGTTTGAATGTGCGTTTTAATATCCTGTTACTTATATTTCTATATTTATGTACAGAAAGTGTATACGCACATGTTTATGCATATGAACAGAAACGCAGACAAACAAATGAAACAAAATGCAAAGAATTAAATGAAACGTATGTCAACAGTTATTCATCAGATTTAATGAGAAGTAAAACCGTTTAACTAAACCCATTCGGAAAAGAAAGAAATAAACACCTAGGGTTTCAAACTCGCCAAGACTTTTTCAGAATACTTAGTAAAACCGGAAATTGTTTGTACATGTGTGTCTGTCAGTCTACTTGCATGCGTATGTGTTGCACAAACAGTTCATTGAAAAGCATCATCCGTTATGTATTTGAGTCCCCTTAATAATGTTGGTCACGGCCATCAGGGAATGCGAGATGGCTTTAAGCTTACATGTGGAACAGGAAGTATCATACGCTTCTTTTTTCGCCATCAAAATCCTCCATATTAATAATAGATTAAGAAGGGAAGTCCTCGAAACACACTTATCTATCTCTCTATATATATGTAGATATATAGAGAAAGATACAGAGAGAGATTTTTTTTTCTTTTCGGTAGGGGAGGGGGGTATCTGCTAAGATAATTATAATGATGTCGATAACTACAATACCATAAGAAAATCAGCATAAGTGGATGTAATCTAGAAAAGAGAGACTTTGGTTCCTCATCTGACTTCCGCCTGATGCCTCCGCTGCCCCTTGGCCTTGGCGCTGTTTCCCAACGGTTTATGGCGATGCATGTTATGACTCATAAGTTTACCCTTTTTTTTTCTTTTCTTTTTTTTGTGCGTGTTTTTACATTGCAATCGTGCATGGAACGTAGATCTGTTCTTTTGTGTAATGTTCAGTCTGGTTTCCTTTCTTTCAATGTTAATTCAGTTTTTGCATTACTTCTTATCATGCCGACAGAGACACACTTACACATACAAATACTCACAAAATTATTCATATACCATACACATACATAGACTGAGGTATATATAACTTCAGGAGTGATGATCACAAAAGGGTATGTATTTGCAAAACAAACTTGAAAGGATGTTAAATGTATTCGGTGCATTTCATTACATCTTTTAAGTAGATCTACTTAGATGGAGACCGAGTTCATCTTACTTTCCGTAGCTTCCGCGTCCTCTTCCTCCACTGAATCCACTACCGCCGCTGCCGCCTCCGAATCCACCGCTACCGAATCCACCACCTCCGCTGCCGCCTCCGAATCCACCGCCACCGAATCCACCACCTCCGCTGCCGCCGCCAAATCCACCGCCACCGAATCCACCTCCACCTCCAGACAGCTTACCGGCACCGATCAGAACACCACTGCTTACGCTTCCACCTCCTCCTCGGCCTCCACTTCCGCCATATCCACCACCACCTCTGCCGCCGCCAAAACCACCTCCACTGCCTCCAAATCCACCACTACCTCCAAATCCACCACTACCTCCAAATCCACCTCTACTGCCTCCAAATCCTCTTCCACCTCCACCGAATCCTCCTCCTCCTCCTCTTCCACCACCGCCGAATCCACCTCCACCTCCGCCTCCTCTACTGCCTCCACCATAACTTCCGCCAGCTGCTGCCACACACGCCATGGCCACCACAGCCACAGTCACAAGCTGAAAGAAAAAAAAAAAGTTTTTATTTCATCACAATGATATCGACGTTATCTATTTTTTAATTATTTATTTTTTATTCACGATCACAATGAACCATCCAAAATAACATATTTCTATTTTGTATAAAAGTGTCAATATTTCCTTGCTATTAGCGAGGTTAAAGTTATAATTTAGTATCCAAGACTGAAAACTAAAATTTACGTACAATAAGGCGATTCATAATGCAGGAAACCGTCTTCCACTGCTGCAGGAGACGAGAAGCGCCCAAATGTGGATGGACGGCGCCTGTATCTGCATTTATACACGACACCGGCACTCGTGTCACCCTTGAGGCAGCAGTCGTGACATTGATGTTTTCCGAAAGTTTTTTTGGGGGGAATTGCTTCGGCATATGTTTCAAATTTGGTAAAACATTTGTGTTTAAAATTCATACCTTTAATTGTTTATTTATTTATTTATTTATTAAGAAAGGACAGTATTTTCGTTATTTTAAAATGACATCTAAAGGGTATACGCTAACATGCACTATTAACTTTAAAAATGTATCTAAGCTTTAAGCTGTACTTAAAGATCCTCAACAACAATTTATATTAAGCCATTCCATGCTTCCAAGTCAGTGTGTTAACATATATACGTGTCAAGTTTAAGTTCAATCTACATTTCTTCAAAGTAACATTATCAATAATATTTTGATGTTTTTGAATTGGCTTTTGTTTTTAATATTTACCCAGGGAACCATTCTGTGCTTTTGACCAGAGATGGAAAAGTTTTTAGTATTTGCGTGTGTGTTTATGTCCTATTACTTATATTTCAAAATTCATGTATAGAATGTGTATACGCACATGTTTATGCGTATGAATACAAACGGAGTAGCGCGCACACACACGGGAAACAAAATACTGCCAAAATTGAAAAATAGGAAACGATTCGATTGTTATCAGAGTTACTAAAAAGCGAAATCGTTTAGTAAACCCTGTTGGAGTAGAAATAGATTTTTTTTTTTTTTTTTTTTTTTATTAGACGTAGTATAAACAGGTATGGTTGATGTTAATGCGTGTCTTTCAGTATGCTTGTATGTGTATATGTTGTGGCAATAGTTCATGTAAAAGATTTCGGGATTCATATGAATACTCTTAATACATTTACAAATATGTAAGGAAAATTTGGTCTTTGCTGTCAGGGCAGGCGAGATGACTTTGAGAAGCATTCTTTCAGATTATTTGTAATTTTGCAAAAACCTGTAATGTGCAACAGGAAGTGTTGTACGTTTCTTTTACTCTCTCTTTCTCTCTCTCTCTTTCTCTGTCATTCTCGCTATATACATTATAGATAGATAGAAAACGAAACCGAGAGTTTATTTTGGTTTCTCGTGTTGGGTATCTACTACGATAATCATGATGGTATCGATTATAATAACCTCAGCCTTGCCACTGTTTCCCTGCGCTGAAGAAGGCGGTCGCAGTTTATGACGAGGCGTGTTATCACAGTTTCACCTTTTTTCTCTTCTTCTTTTCTTATCTTTTAGGCATTCATGTAGTGTGGGAGAACAATTCTGTCCTCTCATGACCATTATCTTTTCCTTTCTTTTATTTTAAATTATTTTTTAGTATTAATTCTTATCGAACGATGCATAATGTTATGACGCTGATGTGTCTCTTCATGTGCATATAAACACATACACGTAGACACACTCATATTCATACATACACATTCTCACACAAACACATAAGTAGACAGATATCTATATCTATCACAGAAGGGGATGTATTTGCAAAACAAATTTGAAAGATTTTAAAGTGTATTCGATGCTTTTCATTACATCTTTTAAGCAGAGAATTTACTCTACTTGGATGGAGACTCGGTTCATGTTACTTTCCGTAACTGCCACTTCCTCTTCCTCCGCCGAAACCTCCACTGCCGCCTCCGAATCCACCGCCACCGAATCCACCACCTCCGCTGCCGCCTCCGAATCCACCACCTCCGCTACCGCCTCCGAATCCTCCACCTCCGAATCCACCGCCACCGAATCCGCCGCCACCTCCAGACAGCTTACCGGCGCCGATCAGAACTCCACGGTTTACGCTTCCGCCTCCACCTCGACCTCCACTTCCGCCATATCCACCACCACCTCGGCCGCCGCCGAATCCACCTCTGCTGCCTCCAAATCCACCTCCACTGCCTCCAAATCCACCTCCACTGCCTCCAAATCCTCCTCCACTGCCTCCAAATCCTCCTCCACCTCCACCAAACCTGTGTCCACCGGATCCACCTCCTCCTCCTCCTCTTCCACCGCCACCGAATCCACCTCCACCTCCGCCTCCTCTACCGCCTCCACCATAGCTTCCACCAGCTGCTGCCACATAAGCCATGGCCACCACAGCCACAGTCACAAGCTGCAAAAGAAAAAAAAAATAGTTAAAGTTGTCGTTTAACCACTACAATATTGACGAGGATTTACTTTGCTATTTACGATCATAAATCATTCAAAAATGGCATCTTTTTTATGTTCACAACCGCAAAAATTTCTTTGTTATCAGCGAGTCTGAAGCCTAACTTAATCTTCCATAACTGACAACAACAGTTTGCTTACAATAAGGCGATTCATGATGCCTCAGACCGTCTTCCACTGTTGCAGGACACGAGAAGCGCCCAAGTGTGGCTGGACGGCGCCCGTCCCTCCATTTATACACGGCACCGGCACTCGTGGCACCCTTGAGGCAGCAGTCGTGACACTGACACGTTTTCCGAAAGCCTTTTTAGGAAATGCTTCGGCATAAGTTTCAGATTTGGTAATGCATTAGTATTCAAGGTCATAACTTTGAAGATATTTTTTTAGTTTAATTGTTGAGTCTATTTGTATATATCATATCAGGTTCACTGCATTTTGTAAATTACATATAAAATGGTACAAGCTATCATGCACCATTCACTTTGGGGAAAAAATGTATACATGTAAGTTTTACGGTGTAATTCAAAATCCTTGATAAATTTACATATTTGTGTCAAGTCTAGGTTTAATGAGCTGATACTTCTTTGTAAACTAAACTGTATTACCCGCTGGTAAAATAGTTACTAAGGGAACATTTCTTTCCTTTTGGTCAGAGATGGTCAAGCTTCCTGTGTTTGAGTGTGCGTTTTAATATCCTGTTACTTATATTTCTATATTTATGTACAGAAAGTGTATACGCACATGTTTATGCATATGAACATAAACATAAACACACAAATGAAACAAAATGCGATTAAAAAGGAAGAATCAAAATGAAACGGACGTTGTTAACAGTTTCTCATTAGACTTAATAAAATTATATATATATATATATATATATATATATATATATATATATATATATATATATATTAACAAAACCCATCCGGAAGAGAAAGAAATGTAAATGAACACAAACGCAGACACACAAATGAAACACAATGCGATCAAAAAGGCTAGAATAAAAATGAAACGGACGTTGTTAACAGCTCATCAGACTTAATAAAAAACAAAATCCTTTAACAAACACCATCAGGAAGATAAAGAAATAAACGCCTAAGGCTTCGAACTCGCCAACACTTTTTCACTTGGTACCTAGTACTAAGTAAAACGGAAATTGTTTATGTGTGTCTTTTATTCTGCTTGCATGTGTATTTGTTGTACAATCAGTTCATGGAAAAGCATCATCCGTGATGAATCCTCTTAATATCTTAATGAAAATGTTGGCCACAGCCATTAGAGAAGGCGATATGGCTTTAAGCTTTCTTTAAGATTTTTTTGTACAAATCCATCATGTGGAACAGGAAGTATCATACGCTTCTTTTCTCTCCATCATTTTTTTTTCTGTTGGGTATCTTCTACGATATTTATAATAATGTCAATAATCATAATAACATAAGAAAATCAGCATAAATGAACGCAATCTAGAAAAAGAGAGACTTTGGTGCCTCGTCTGACTTCCGCCTGATGCCTCCGCTGCCCCTCGGCCTTGGCGCTGTTTCCCAACAGTTCATGGCGATGCGTGTTATGACTCTCACAAGTTTACCCCCTTTTTTCCCTTTTTTGTGTTTTTTATATTCTAATCGTGCATTGAAGCATAGAAGAGCAGTTCTTTTGTGTAATAGTAATTCTGTTTTCCTTTCTTTCAATGTTAATTCAGTTTTTAGTATTAGTTTTTATCGAACGATAGATGGATTAGGGTGTACATAATCATGCAGAGACAGAGACACACATACACAAACAAATACTTATACAAATACACAAAAATATGCACATCCCATATACATATATAGACAAAGGTATCTATATCTTTAGGATGATAATCAGAGAAAGGAATATAATTGCAAAACAAACTTGAAATGTATTTAAATATATTCGGTGCATTTCATTACAGCTTTTTAGTAGAGACTGTCCCCTACGTAGATGGAGACCGAGTTCATCTTACTTTCCGTAGCTGCCGCGTCCTCTTCCTCCGCCGAATCCACTGCCGCTACCGCCTCCGAATCCACCGCCACCGAATCCACCACCTCCACTGCCGCCTCCAAATCCACCGCCTCCGAATCCACCGCCACCGAATCCACCTCCACCTCCAGACAGCTCTTTCCGGCGCCGATCAGAACTCCACTGCTTACGCTTCCACCTCCTCCTCGGCCTCCACTTCCGCCATATCCACCACTGCCTCTGCCGCCGCCAAATCCACCTCCACTGCCGCCAAATCCACCTCCACTGCCGCCAAATCCGCCTCCACTACCTCCAAATCCTCCTCCGCTGCCTCCAAAACCTCCTCCACCTCCACCAAAACTATGTCCACCGAATCCTGCCGCCAAATCCACCTCCACTGCCGCCTCCAAATCCACCGCCTCCGAATCCACCACCTCCACTGCCGCCAAATCCACCTCCACTGCCGCCAAATCCACCTCCACTGCCGCCAAATCCACCTCCACTGCCGCCAAATCCACCTCCACTGCCGCCAAATCCACCTCCACTGCCGCCAAATCCACCTCCACTGCCGCCAAATCCACCTCCACTGCCGCCAAATCCACCTCCACTGCCGCCAAATCCACCTCCACTGCCGCCAAATCCACCTCCACTGCCGCCAAATCCACCTCCACTGCCGCCAAATCCACCTCCACTGCCGCCAAATCCACCTCCACTGCCGCCAAATCCACCTCCACTGCCGCCAAATCCACCTCCACTGCCGCCTCCAAATCCACCGCCTCCGAATCCACCACCTCCACTGCCGCCAAATCCACCTCCACTGCCGCCAAATCCACCTCCACTGCCGCCTCCAAATCCACCGCCTCCGAATCCACCACCTCCACTGCCGCCAAATCCACCTCCACTGCCGCCAAATCCACCTCCACTGCCGCCAAATCCACCTCCACTGCCGCCAAATCCACCTCCACTGCCGCCAAATCCACCTCCACTGCCGCCTCCAAATCCACCGCCTCCGAATCCACCACCTCCGCTGCCGCCTCCAAATCCACCGCCTCCGAATCCACCACCTCCACTGCCGCCTCCAAATCCACCGCCTCCGAATCCACCGCCACCGAATCCACCTCCACCTCCAGACAGCTTTCCGGCGCCGATCAGAACTCCACTGCTTACGCTTCCACCTCCTCCTCGGCCTCCACTTCCGCCATATCCACCACTGCCTCTGCCGCCGCCAAATCCACCTCCACTGCCGCCTCCAAATCCACCGCCTCCGAATCCACCACCTCCACTGCCGCCTCCAAATCCACCGCCTCCGAATCCACCACCTCCACTGCCGCCTCCAAATCCACCGCCTCCGAATCCACCACCTCCACTGCCGCCAAATCCACCTCCACTGCCGCCAAATCCACCTCCACTGCCGCCAAATCCACCTCCACTGCCGCCAAATCCACCTCCACTGCCGCCAAATCCACCTCCACTGCCGCCAAATCCACCTCCACTGCCGCCAAATCCACCTCCACTGCCGCCAAATCCACCTCCACTGCCGCCTCCAAATCCACCGCCTCCGAATCCACCACCTCCACTGCCGCCAAATCCACCTCCACTGCCGCCAAATCCACCTCCACTGCCGCCAAATCCACCTCCACTGCCGCCAAATCCACCTCCACTGCCGCCAAATCCACCTCCACTGCCGCCAAATCCACCTCCACTGCCGCCAAATCCACCTCCACTGCCGCCTCCAAATCCACCGCCTCCGAATCCACCACCTCCACTGCCGCCAAATCCACCTCCACTGCCGCCAAATCCACCTCCACTGCCGCCAAATCCACCTCCACTGCCGCCTCCAAATCCACCGCCTCCGAATCCACCACCTCCACTGCCGCCAAATCCACCTCCACTGCCGCCAAATCCACCTCCACTGCCGCCTCCAAATCCACCGCCTCCGAATCCACCACCTCCACTGCCGCCAAATCCACCTCCACTGCCGCCAAATCCACCTCCACTGCCGCCAAATCCACCTCCACTGCCGCCAAATCCACCTCCACTGCCGCCTCCAAATCCACCGCCTCCGAATCCACCACCTCCACTGCCGCCAAATCCACCTCCACTGCCGCCAAATCCACCTCCACTGCCGCCAAATCCACCTCCACTGCCGCCAAATCCACCTCCACTGCCGCCAAATCCACCTCCACTGCCGCCAAATCCACCTCCACTGCCGCCAAATCCACCTCCACTGCCGCCAAATCCACCTCCACTGCCGCCAAATCCACCTCCACTGCCGCCAAATCCACCTCCACTGCCGCCAAAT